CATGTTGAGGAAAATCCTAGGTGGAAGCAAAAAGGTGACATGGGGATGGGGAGTTACACTCACACTCTCTCACACACACACACACACACACACACACACACACACACACACTTTTATTTACTGCTGTCAAAGCCATAAAATGTGGATATTTGAGCTTTATAGTCACACTATGTACTTGATCTTTATAGTCACACTATGTAGTTGTCCCTGCAGGTTTTGAAGTATCTCAGCATCTTAACGTGTGCTTTGTTTAAGAAAGGCCACATGTGGAAATATTCAAGTATAACTGTGCAATTCTGCAACAGAAATTGTTCTACATTCAAGAGAGGAACCCAAGAAAACAAAAAGCAACAAATCATTAGATTGATTTCATCTGTTTCTACATTCCATGGCTTCTATCTCATTTGTATAGTGCATTTTGATAGATAGGGACCTGCCATCATTCACTAAGGAAAAGACACATTTATTTACTGGTCATCCATGTGAAGGAAAGCAAGTGGATGACGATGACAGTCAAATTTCTTGGCTGAATGGGCTGCTGTCAGAGCCAATTCCTCTGAGTGTCTGTAAAACACCTTTTAGACAGCCTCACAGTTCAGTGGTCAAATGCAGATTTTATCAGACCTTCACCCATCCAATTCTGGAATTTTTTAGTGAAACAATAAACAAAAGCAATGCTTTAGGGAGAGCTATGATTTTGTTCAAAATATACAAATTATACTTATCTTTATTCTAGTATTTCATCAAACACCCACTTTAATTCATACTTAATAATTCAACACAGACAAATGAACACATCAAATACTGTGTATGCTCATATGTATATATGAAGGCAATGCACATATAAGTTCCATGACAACTGTGATGGTGTTTTCCCAAAATTAAGAAGTATGTTTATACTAGAGGCCGGATGCATGAAGATTCGTGCAAGAATGGGCCTTCCTTCACATATGTAATACCCTTTGTAATACTTTTAGCAATAAAAAAAAAAAAGAATGGGCCTTTCTTCTCCTAGCTGCCCGGCACCGCCTTTGCTCTGGCCAGAGCCACCTTTCGGCCTTCCCACGCTGCCCAGAGGCCCTGAGCGGCTGGGGCGGTGCAGAACGCCTGTGTTGTAACCATGGCAACAACACAAGCATCCCGCCCCACTCCTGGCGCTTGTCACCTGCATATGCAAATTAACCCACCATCTTTGCTGGGTTAATTTGCATACTCACCCCTGATTGGCTGGTGGGTGTTGTGAAGGTACGGTCAATTTGCATATTTCTCTTTTATTAGTGTAGATATAATGAATTACCTAATTAGTCACCCAAGCATAAAGCCCAATTTATGATTTTTCTCAAATGTAACTTTGGTTTTTAACACCATCAAGAGACTGTTTTAGTGTTAATAAGCAATCTGAATTGTACTCTTCCTTTTGTGATTTTCCCGCCCAGAAATCTGAAAAGCAAAAGGAGAAAGTCCTTTTCATATGTTCTGACATGTGTAGTCATGCCTTCCAGAATTCTGCCAGGCTGGGGTTTCCTTGAATTTGTGTCACACCTCACATCCCCGTTAACTGGCACACAGCAGAATTTATGAACAAGTGGCTTTTCTTAAAAAATACATATTTCTTTACATTCAAACAAGAATATAATTTAAGGCAAAAAGGTAAATTAGCTACTATTCGATATGTTGCCTTAGAAAATGGCCAAACAAAACACTTTTTCAGTGTTCACTCGTGTATTAAGCAAACAATTACTGAATCCCTACACACCCTGTGGCACATGTCCTGCTAGCATTCAAAAATTTTAAAGGCATAGATAATAAAAGCAGAAGGTATAAAGTGATAAAAGTGACTTAAGAAATGAATAAACAAAGTATTATAGGTCTTTACAAGTCTTCATTTCCAATGATAAGGCACCCTGCAACCTAGAATTTAGGACAACCCACAAAAAGGCTTCATTCATGAAAAAGCCTTGGTTACCACTACCAAACTTTCACTTTGGGAGTCGGGAAAAGTTATGTATGACCACTCTCCCAACATACAATCTAAACATGCAAGCCCTTTTCCTTTTGCAAATCTTTAAGATTTCATGTGTATTGGGTTTTATTTCATAAGATGGTTCTCATTTCTTTAATGAGTTTTACTTACTTGTGGGCAAAGTTGACCATAGTGTTCCCAGTAGGGGGTGAAGGTAAGGGAATGAAAGAATAATTGTATTTGATGTGAGGAAGGCAGAGATGTGCTGTTACTGTATTTCAGTTCCATCTATCCACTTGATAACTTCTTTTCTTTCTTCCCTGTACCACTCTCCTCACACCCAAATCTGTTAGGATTTAAATGGCAAACACGTAGGGTAGCAAGCAAAAAGCGTGGGCATGTTCCTTAACCTCTCTGACTCTGTTTCCTCTTCGGAAAATGGCTTAAAAATACGGTGTCTGGCAGGCTATCGGTAAACAAGGGCTGGTGGTGGGCTGATTAGATGAACACAGATTCCATACAAACTATTGTCCTAACACCAAACTAAATCAAGAACGCTGATGTTCCTGTCTCTGTTTCTCTAACTCTGAAATGGGACTAACTTCAGGGTCATCCTAAGAATTAATGAGATAATATATGCAACACTTCCTTTAACTTAATCCCTTAATTTGTGGTACTTCTCTTTGGTTTTCTATTTTAGGTGCCTCCACCTAAATTTCTGTGGTTGTTGGATTATGCAAATAATGGTAATCACAAATCACCTGAGGGTCGTACATTAAAGGACTCATTGAAAATGAAACAACTGTCTAGAAAGAGGGACAAAATCTTTAATATTCATACAACCCTCCCAGCCATAAAGAGAAGAAATACTAAAATGACTTATTAATCGTATAAGATCCTTTAAGGACCTTAGAACTGGGAACAGTTTAATCTTAGAAGAGAGTTGCCTGAGAAAATGCAGAAATGTTTAGTACCCTGGTTCTACAATAGCCCTTTATGTGTCTCCTGTGAATATTTTTCTTGACTGAATATATTCACTTGTACTTTTCAATTTTAAATTATGTAAAAGCAAACACATTTATATTAAGAGAGCAATAACATATTCCAGGATATATATTTATAGTCCTTATAGTCCCCAGCTCTGAAATCATGTACCACCACTAACCTCCAGAAACAAACCAGTAACCAGTATTAATGTGAGACCTGTGGTCCTATTGTGAAACATGACCTTCATGTTAATACAGATGTGCAGAGTGGCCTTCGTTCAAAGCAAGTGTGAAACAGGAGGAAGCAAGACTATCTCTGAACTTGCACAGAGAAAACATAAAATTAGTAAGGATAAAACCTTCATGTAAAATTCTTTTTATGAGTAACTAGAGGCCTGATGCACGAAATTCGTGCAAGGGACTTGGACCTCACAGCCGCAGCGGCTGCCTCGGCCCTCGCAGCTTCGGCTTTGTCTGGAAGGTCGTCTGGAAGGACGTCCAGAAGGTCGTTCTGCTGCCAGGTCTAATTAGCATATTACACTTTTATTATTATAGATTATTATTTTTTCATAGACTGCCAAACATGTGGCTATGAAATGAGGAGATTTTTAATATTGACATTTTAATTAGTTATACCTAAAATCACATTTGGTGTTGCTCAGCATACTGCAATTAGGAATCTAAATCACTTTTCTGTCTCTAGAGTTAAAGTTCAGGATCTGGGAACACTGTCCTAACTTTTTTCTTGATGATGTTTAATTATTATACAGAATAACAGCAATCAGGCAATGGTCAACTTCTGTCAACTTCCCAAGGTCTAATTTTCATCTTTAGCTATTAACCATGGAGGAAATTCTGTTTAGAGTGTTTGTTATAGGTGTATTTTCTGTTGTGATGACCACCAACGTATGTGGGGGAAAAATAAAGGCACATTGCTCTGGCCTTACAGGTCTACAGTGCATATTCCTGTTAGGAGCACCTCATGGAAATTCATCCTCAGCTGGCTCCAAGGCTACTGTACACATTGTACAATCCAAATAATAGCTGCTTCAGACAGCCCACTGGAAGATTAGTTTCAAGGGACCGAAGTACAACTCTCATTATCATCACTTTCTCTCCAAAACCAACAATTCAAACCAGAAAAGTGAAGTAGAAGGAAAAAACAAATCCATGAATAATTTGCCAATCACACCTCTTTCCTAAACAGTTAAGAGTCTGCCATAAGGCAGGTCTAAATTAAAAGAACCTAGATGAAAACAGATGGCGCTTTGTCATTTTCCTATTTGATTTGAAGATCCAGTTAGGAAAGGGCTTGTCATTTCCAAGTCCTCTTATTCATAATACAGACAACAAGAACAACATTCCTTCCGTCCTCCCACCATCCCTCCTTCTCTCCTTCTCTCCTTCTCTCCTTCCTTCTTTCCTTCCTTCCTTCCTTCCTTCCTTCCTTCCTTCCTTCCTTCCTTCCTTCCTTCCTTCCTTCCTTCTTCCCTCCCTCCCTCCCTTCCTCCCTTCCTCCCTCCACTCCCTCCCTTCCTCCTTTCCTCCCTCCCTCCTTC